ATCCTCAAACACTAATAGCAATAATATTTCTGACATTTATAAAATAAATTGCCAAAACTGTTCCTCCCAATATACTGGAAAAACAAGCAGAAATTAAAAAAACAAAAACAAAACGCATCTATGAGCACAAATGAAACCTAAAAAAAACAAAAAAACAACTTAAGTAATGCACTAGTCATACACAGAAATAAATTCCACAATAATTTTGATTTTAAAAATGCTACACTCATAAAAAACGAAAACAACTCACTCAGAAGGAAAATCCTCGAGAGTGCCGCCATTGAATATTATCCAAATATTAATCTATGCCCAGGCTTTTTCCCAATACCACCTTAACAGAATTACTGCTCTCCCAAGCCAACGTACACAACTGTATTAATAAATCAAAAGAAAATGGTTTTCAATACAACAATAAAAAATATTTCTACACGTGATAATACTTGACGTAATTTTCAGTTGACAATATGAATGCAATAGCGTTTTCTAAATTCTTCTAGTTGCTAAGGACATTTTGTTTGTTGTCAATAGTTACTTTGTTTTCAATAAATTCATTTCGTTTTTGCTTTGAAAATGTCCACATTGGATGAAACGCGTCGGCTAATAATACAGTTTTCCTATTGTCTTTTACCTTTATACATATTGTCTTTTTCTACAGGTTATCTTTGAGAAATTTTTCGTATATATATATATATATATATATATATATATATATATTTGTTGCAAAATATCGTGCCCGATTGGAAAATTATAAAGAAAATTTTACATCCTCGCAAAAGAATAACATTTATTAGTAAAGTACAAAGTCTCTATTGTTTTAACAACTATCTCACATCATTCTACAAGCTTGTTGATAACATTTTCGTAGAAACTTCGTGTTTTTTGTTGGAAGAAGTTTGTGAAATTTTTTTCAACAGACTGAACAAATCTTTTGTCATTTAAATTGTTCTGTAGAGACTGGAACAAATGAAAATCCAAAGGGTCCAAGACAGAACAATAAGGAATGTGCTGATTGGCTTCCAGTTTCGTCGTGGTGGAAACTGACGCCTATTCGATTTGACAAAATCAGCCGTCGGTAGTTCGATGGTTGATCGTTTAGGTTAAGATCACCATGACGAAATCTGCCAAGTCACTTTCTGACCGTCCGAAAATATGGAGCACGATCCAAATAAACCTTCTGAATATTTTTTGTCGCAGTTCCGACGCTTACACCTTTCAGAAATTCATAGAACAAAAATGCAACTTTTCATCCTCTATCTTTAAGGCATCTATTTGTGAACAAAAATGTCAACATTCAACAGAGTCTGCTAGCAACTGAACGATGCAAATTTCAATCAAGAACACACCAGAAATCGATACAAAAACAAACACGAGTGTCAAGTTTCGGTCATTTTATATTAACAATGAAAGTCAGGTACGAATTTTTGCAACCTGATATAAATACTGATATTCAAGCTTTTAATTTCAAATATATAAATATTGCCAGAGGTTATAAGATATAACCTGTATAAAAGTTCGTATCAACTCTAGATATTAATTTAATAGGAATTCTGTGGAAAGAGATGCATATGAGAACGGTAACGGCACTTTATTGATGATCAATTTTCGTTTATTTTTAGCAGAAATATTCTACGCCTTTTAAGAGAAAAAAATTATACGGCAACTATACTGAGCAGACTTTGCTCTGTGAACCTCCACTTTAAGTAGCTCCCTCACCTTGTACAGGGCAAACCACACTGTAAAAAACATCAATATATATATATATATATATATATATATATATATATATATATATATATATATATATAATTTTAAGATGCTAGATTTATGTATACAAGTGCTCAATATTAAAAGTATATGTGTAAAAATATAAGAGTGAATACTGAGAGGAACACTAAGTGTCGACAGTCTGTTTCATACACACACACACACACACACACACACACACACACACACACAGTTACAGTTTTGGTGAGATAACGCATAATCTCATGTGATAAACAGTTTGAACAAGGCATGCACGATGAAATCCTCGCTCACGATGACTTGTGACTTTATACTAGAAGAACCATCAACAGCTTCCATACGATTCTACCCAATTTCACTCACTAGACTTGAGTTAACCTGGGGTATAAATTTCAGGCACTTTTCAAAGGTGCCGCACGCTAGGATCACACCTCAGGCTGATAACATCAAGTAAATCACCTTCCCGAAAAAAAAATCACCCATTGTAAGATTTGAAACCGGGTTTCATGTTCGGAAAGCGAAAATTTTAACTACCCAACCGAAACGCTATACAGCTTATTTACGTCATGACTATAGCAGATGTTCTGATGAGTTACATCCCTTTGTTGCACCAGCTCAGACCTTCACAGCTAGGGCTCGCCATGCCATGTTCACGGTGGCAAACATCTCCTATTCCTATTGTGTTCATTTGATGAAAGCAATTTCCACTCAGACAGCTTTTTCCCAAGAACTTTGTGGAACAAACTCCCGAGAGAATGCTTCCCTGACAGCTACAATCTTGGTCTCTTTAAGGGTTAAATAATATCTGTCCCACTCGTCCTCACAGTACTCTCTTACTCCCCACTTCAACTTCCCTTGTCAAAATCTGACACAGTGAACTACCTTGAGTGGCTCTCGAGCCCTGCATTCCGTGAACTCACAGTAGAAATAAGTAACTAAGCCTGTTTATTATTAGGGGAGGACCTATGGGTGCACCAATGTTGGGAGAATTCGGAAATCCGAGTTTGAATTCCAATGGAATCCATTACATCCACTTACGCTCAAATAACATCGGGAAAAGTATGAATGTATCTCGGCTTCCTCCCAGCTATGGATTAAACAGTAGGATTTGTATCTGGAAAAATCTTTGTTATTCTAAAACAAATGTTAATGCAATATTCACTTGCAAAAAATAGAATTATTCTTACAATCCAACCATCCGTAAAATATAAATCATTCATTCAAAGAACCATTGTTGCGTTGTGCTTACGGCCTCAGTTGGGGGGTTAATCTGGTCAAGGAAATAATATTTATATATCGAATGAAACAGTTACTGTTAATTAAAATCGGTAGTTTTTTATTCATCCAAATTGAACATAGATTTTGAAATGAAAATAGAAACGCCTCAGTCTGTGTTCTTATATGCTCGTGAATTCCCAACTTGCTGACAAAGTAATATGTGGCTGTTCACAATTCTGACTTTCAGCATTTTCAATAAGGAGTGACACTTTACAATTTTTTTTAACATTGAAATAATGCGCATTCTTCATTTTTAAATAAAAAAAAAAAAACGCAAATATTTAATATTGAGGCAAGAAAGAAAAGGAACATTTTGAACGGAAATTTTGTAATAGGATTTGTTATTCCAGATCTTGGTAAACTGTTTTTAATTTAGTAAAAAAAAGTAGTAAAAAAAAAAAACAAACAAAAACCCCCCCCTCAAAAAAAAAAAAAAAAATCAAATATGGAAATAATATTTGAAGGTCGTTTAGATATTTATAAAAAGCTTTAGACATTCTGATTGGATGCATTAATTCACTTGCCGTGTGAATTTAACTTCGAAATGTTCGAGAAAGGAATTTTCAAGTATTTTCTGCTTGTTACTGAATCGTTGTGTAAAGAAGAGCAAGTATTTAGTTAGAAACTCATTCAATCGTGACTTGTGTTTTCTTTCTCTCTTTCTTTCTTATTTTGTTTCTTTCTTACTTTCTTAAATTCTATCAATGTTCTTTCTTTCATAAGTTATTTCTTTATTTTTCTTTCTTTCTTTCTTTCTTAAGTTATTTCTTTATTTTTCTTTCTTTCTTTCTTAAGTCATTTTAGTTCTTTCTTTCGTTTTTCTTTCTTAAGTTTTTGCTTAAGTTTTTTCTTAATTTCTTTTATAAGGTCTTTCTTTTCTTTCTTTCTTTCTTTCTTTCTTTTCTTTCTTTCTTTCTTTCTTTCTTTCTTAAATTCTTCATTTGTTAAATTCATTCTTTTTAAATAGTTTTTCATAAGTTCTTTCGATTTTGAAGATTAGTTCTATTTTATAAATTCTTAAAATCCTTTTTTGTTAAATTCTCACTTTCTTTCTGACTTTCTTTGTTAAATTCTTCTTAAATTCTTTCTTAGAGGCTTAGATTCTGTATTTTTTTCTTTTTTATATCTTTTTCATTAAATTCTTTCTTGGATACATTTTGTCAAACTCTTTCTTTTTTCTCTCTTTCCTAATGTATCGTTTGCTAAATTCTTTCTGAAATGGTTTTTTTTCGAAATCCTTTCTTAAATTGAGAGTCTCTCCTATGGTCAATGAAATGTAAAATTCATCTCATGTAAAAGTTTCAGCTATAAACAGCAACTAACCCATTGAGAAGTAATTACCTCCATCCAATCCCTGAGAGATTTTATTTTATTTTATCGGACATTTAAATATATATATATAAAATTCCAAGATAAAATCTTTTATTGTCTATATGTTTATTTACTTTCCCACTGATTTTAATAAAAAAAGGCTTTCATCAATTTCATTAATAAATAGTTACCAAAATAAAAAAAAATAGCGTTAATCTAATTCCGTGCTATGTAAATAAAGCATTACCAATAAAGTCATGTATAAAATTTGTTAATATATAGGACCTTTTCAGTTGGTAACAAAGCAATGAGTGAGTGAGAAAGAAGGAGTGAATGTAATCACAGTATAAAAAGGTTACGAATAATATAGCCTTTATACGAGTTGATCACAAATAAAAATTAGTAAAATTGATTTATTTTTATGAATCTTTTTCAAATTATTCAACACCGAAACATATTTTTGGATTATAAGAATTTTTAGGGAGATAATAATGATTTTCTGATACAAATCTTACTATTTAACCCATATATGTAAAGAGAAGCATTAATACCTTTCCCAAGGGTATTTGCACATAAATGAATATAACAAACCCGACTAGAATTCGAACTTGGCATGTCCAATTTCTCATTCCGAGATTTTATCCATTACACCACCTATACATGTACACTTACAACACCAATATTAACCAGTGGTCACCCATCCAGATAATGGTCAGGTTCATCATTGCTTAACATCGGGGATCATACGGGAACTGGTGTTTTAACGTGATATGGCCGTAAGCCTCAAATTGGTAAAAGGCTTAGAAAAAAGAATCAAGACTAAAACTAAGATCTGATAAATCATAGACAATTAAGACTCAAGCTTTAGTGTAACGGCATCGTCATTAATCTTCCTATGACCGGTTCTGGTAGCAGGTTCACTGTGCTGCTGAGAATCTGACCATTTCCCTCTATATGACTGGGTTGAAAACCTGAGAATTATCAATTCATGCGTAGTGTATCTTGTTCAAATAGACTTGACTGAATCCATTTCACTTCAGGCGAAATCGCAGCTGATGTCCGCGAACTTTAAGGCTCGCCTTGTCACGGACACATGGCCGTTGATTCTATCAAGGAGAATTCTACATGCTGGCCATGAGTTCAATACAGGAAGTCCTCCTCCGACTCTGCAATGCTGTGTCATTACAGCCTTAGCTCTATACACAGCTATGTATCCCAGTCCACCACATTGTGTTAGATAACCGTTTAACCTACTGGAATGTTCAGCTGCCCTTTAACAGGTCTTACTTTTAATACTGCTGGTTGTCTAACTAACCTCCTCAGTAGAAAAACTAGTTGAAGAACCAGTTTAGTCCTCGATAACCAGTCATATGGCAGTTGGTACTGAGTTAAACAGTACTCACACCTGTATAACAATTCCGAATATCTAGATAGAAACGTTTATCTGATTCTGTGAAGCATATGTAACAAGAAACAAGATTTACGTTAGTTTAAAATATTAACATATAATCTTTTACATTAGGCACAAGTGAAGGCTGGAATAGTCGTACTGGTTGGAATTTGTCAACTTATAAAAAAAGCGTGCCGTCTTAATTATAAGTTGGATGTGTGGGTAAAATAGTAGGGTAGGTTGGGGCCTTCAGATAACCTTGGATGGCAACCAATCTAAGAGAAGGAAAATTCTGACTTACAAACCGAGGAGAAAAAAAAAAAGTGGAAACCTACTCCACTGTATAAACGAGTTCAAAATTTGTTCTGTTCAATTTCGGACAAAATGCCGTTGGCAAAAGTATAAATCCGTATCTACTACCACCTATGGTAAAATAGTAACATAGAATGGAGTCTTGAGAGAGAGAGAGAGAGAGAGAGAGAGAGAGAGAGAGAGAGAGAGAGAGAGAATGAATTGGATAGCGACTAATCTAAGAGAAGGAAAAACAACCACAAATAACAGTGTGCCAAGATCTGGAATAGAAAAGGTTATTAAAGAATTTAGGTTCCAAATGTACCTTTTCTCTTTTTGTCTCAATATTAAGCTACTCCATTGTCTTTCCCAAGAATAGATGGTAATTCACAGATAATAAAGTAATGGAATATGTATATCACCCCCGTCCTGAAGTCGATACTGCATTAAAAGATATTATAGAACGTTAATTGGCGCTGCAACATCAGTTAAAGTAGACATTCAAACGGGAATCATTATAAAGTTAAATACACATGAAACAAAATAATCATGCCTCAGAAAAAGATTCCTTGAAAGATAATAAGCATGTCATATCAAATAAGCAGCGTGCCGGAGCTGGTGAAAGAAATAATTTAATCGTACCGACACATGTATTCGATAGCCAAGAGTGCGTATAATAAACTGGAATAAAATAATTGTGCTACAGAGAAAATTATTTGAAAATTAACAAGTGGAACCGTGCTCAATAAGCATCGTGCAGAGGAGGGCAAGAACTGAAGGAAATCATTTAATAATGCCGGAGCCTTTATTTGGTAAACAATAGTACTTAAGTAATGCAATAATATAAGATTGTGAGGCACAGTTTGCTGTATATATTTCAGTTATGCATTGCACAAAACTCGTTCAGAAATATTTAATCTGACTGTCATTTGTATACAACCAGATTCTGAGATCAATGGCTAAAACTGGCTTCTAGCGGATCAAACGTGTAGGTGTTAGCTAAGACCATACTTGTTCGAAACGTGTGGGGACAGGAGTTACTCAATCACAAACAGCGGATTGTAATAAAAAGAAGAATCCACATCACTTGAGGATTTTCAACAGCAGCAAAAGCTAAAATGGCTAACACAGGTAACTCGAAGAGCAAACGATGGCATAAACATGATGTTGGCGTTTCACACTACTTTAAGTAAAAGATTAGGAAGGAAACCGCTATTAGTACTAGCTATTGGACTTGAGAAATCTATCTGCTCGGTCAATGAGTGCCGAATATTTCCTTATAAGGAAACGGCAAATATTAATTTTACTATTACTGTTACATCAGTGATCCTGATATCTGCCCCACACTAATATAGAAAAACAAAAGTTTAAATGGTAAATACGAGTTTAAATGGCAAAGAATACGTACTGTAAGTAATGAATCATTACTGTAAGTATAGAAATCGATGCATTTTTATAGTAAAATGACCAACAATACCTATCTATAGCAAATGACCAACAATACATTTTATAGCCAAATGACCAAGTTACATTTTATTTATAGCTGAAGGTATACAATTCAACCAAATAAAAATACGTTTTTATAGTAAAAATACTAGCAATACGTTTTTATAGTAAAAAAAAATCAACAGTATTTATTTATCGCAAAATGATCAGTGACATAATTTTTAAATAAACTCATCAGCAATACATTTTATCTGTAGTTGAAGGCATGCAATTGCATTCAAAATATATTTAGTTGAAGCACATAAAATTGTGTTAAAAATATGTAGATTTCGCCATTAAACCATAAAGGTTGACATAGCCTCAAACAAAATTAAAGAACCAATCAATTAATCCAATTTTGATTTCCTCAGAACATTATCAGTATTGCTCATTTAGCATTATCTCATACTAGATATACGTTTTGCCCAGTTATTTCGTCAGGAGTGATGGTGTTTTGTTTAGTAGAGACTTTTATGCTCCAATGCATCCATCTATATTATGTCTACATCGTATCGTTATTGTATGAGCTGACACTTCACTAGTAATGCTACTTTCATTCATTACTTGATGAGCCATGAACTTCAGGTTGAATACTGATAACCTAACCAGATCTCTTTGAATCTCTTTTGTTTAATTTCAGTCTTTTTTTCCTATCGAAAGCCTTTCCCAACATCCGCGTGCCTTTTCAAGTTTACTAAAAGAGAGAACATTGATATACTAAGCTCTTGGAGATTTCATGTTAACGCATTCTTGTTGGCGTTAGAAGCTCTCAGAAATATCTCAAATTTCAACTGTATAAAGCCGCTTTCTCAGATCAGTGATTTAAATTGATTTCGAGCGAATGAATCCTGTACAGCATTTTGAGGACTATCTTTCTTCAAACCTTGTGTACTGGCGATTCAGAATCACAGAAAAAGAACAGTATCAAATGACAAAAATCACATCAAATGAGGAGGTTCAAAAGCGGTAACAGCTAAAACGGACAGTACATGTAACTCGAAGAGAAAGTATTAACATAATTACCATGTTGACGTTCCTCAACAAAAAGAGAAAAAAAGAAGAAAGCCTCCATCAATACTGGAAACATTGATAACAGTGGACATGAAAAACTTATTTTTCTGAAAAGTTATTTTATAGAAAGATTTTTATAAATTTCAACTGACAGTAGCACTGTCAGTGGATGACGGTGGATGACGTTCGATCAGTGGATGACAAAAGTTTCCATATAAGGAAACGCTTAATGGTTTGCGCTAAAGTATAGAAAGACCATATCATTACCATTCATACTCTTTTCTAATCTCATTTTTTCGATGATCAAATTTAATGCATAAAGATGAAGGCTACTATTTAAGCTAATGCCAGCTATTTAGTTTATTTTTTAAATACCAAATTTCGACGAATATAAGGTTACTGTGATGGTGAATGAGATGTGTGTTATGAATGAATGAGGAAGTTGTAAAAAGTGAAAAATAGGCGGATCAGAATGACCGGAAGATAAGTTTGGAAATCGGGGGAATAAACGGAAGGCAGAGTGAGAAATCGGAAAAAAGATCAGGAGATAGTATTGGAAACCGAAAAAGTGATTGGAAGATTGGTATTGGAAATCGGAAGAACGAACGGATGATAGCTTTGGAAATCGGAAGAATGAACGGATGATAGCTTTGGAAATCTGAAGAACGAACGGATGATAGCTTTGGAAATCTGAAGAACGAACGGATGATAGCTTTGGAAATCTGAAGAACGAACGGATGATAGCTTTGGAAATCTGAAGAATGAACGGATGATAGCTTTGGAAATCGGAAGAACGAACGGATGATAGCTTTGGAAATCTGAAGAATGAACGGATGATAGCTTTGGAAATCGGAAGAACGAACGGATGATAGCTTTTGAAATCGGAAGAACGAACGGATGATAGCTTTGGAAATCTGAAGAATGAAGGGATGATAGCTTTTGAAATCTGAAGAACGAACGGATGATAGCTTTGGAAATCTGAAGAACGAACGGATGATAGCTTTGGAAATCTGAAGAATGAAGGGATGATAGCTTTTGAAATCTGAAGAACGAACGGATGATAGCTTTGGAAATCTGAAGAACGAACGGATGATAGCTTTGGAAATCGGAGGAACGAACGGATGATAGCTTTGGAAATCTGAAGAATGAACGGATGATAGCTTTGGAAATCGGAAGAACGAACGGATGATAGCTTTGGAAATCGGAAGAATAACGGATGATAGCTTTGAAAATCTGAAGAACGAACGGATGAAAGCTTTGGAAATCTGAAGAACAAACGGATGATAGCTTTGGAAATCGGAAGAAAGAACGGATGATAGCTTTGGAAATCTGAAGAATGAACGGATGAAAGCTTTGGAAATCTGAAGAATGAACGGATGATAGCTTTGGAAATCGGAAGAACGAACGGATGATAGCTTTGGAAATCGGAAGAACCAACTGATAGTAGCTTAGGAAATCAGAAGAACGAACGGATGATAGCTTTGGAAATCTGAAGAATGAACGGATGAACGAAACTGAAGAATGAACGGATGATAGCTTTGAAATCTGAAGAATGAACGGATGATAGCTTTGGAAACCGAACGGATGATATCTTTGGAAATCTGAAGAATGAACGGATGATAGCTTTGGAAATCTGAAGAATGAACAGATGATAGCTTCGGAAATCAGAAGAACGAACGGATGATAGCTTTGGAAATCGGAAGAACGAACGGATGATAGCTTTGGAAATCGGAAGAACCAACTGAAAATCAGAAGAACGAACGGATGATAGCTTTGGAAATCTGAAGAATGAACGGATGATAGCTTTGGAAATCTGAAGAATGAACGGATGATAGCTTTGGAAATTGGAAGAACGAACGGATGATAGCTTTGGAAATCTGAAGAACGAACGGATGATCGGAAGAAATAACGGATGATTGGAAATCTGAAGAATGAACGGATGATAGCTTTGAAATCGAAAGAACGAACGGATGATAGCTTTGGAAATCAGAAGAATGAACGGATGATAGCTTTGGAAATCGGAAGAACGAACGGATGATAGCTTTGGAAATTTGAAGAATGAACGGATGATAGCTTTGAAATCTGAAGAATGAACGGATGATAGCTTTGGAAATCTGAAGAACGAACGGATGATATAAACAGATTTGGAAATCTGAAGAATAAACAGATGATAGCTTTGGAAATCTGAAGAATGAACGGATGATAGCTTTGGAAATTGAAGAATGAACGGATGATAGAACGGAAATGAAGAACGAACGGATGATAGCTTTGGAAATCTGAAGAATGAACGGATGATAGCTTTGGAAATCTGAAGAATGAACGGATGATACGGAAATGAAGAATGAACGGATGATAGCTTTGGAAATCTGAAGAATGAACGGATGATAGCTTTGGAAATCTGAAGAATGAACGGATGATACGGAACGAACGGATGATAGCTTTGGAAATCGGAAGAACGAACGGATAATAGCTTTGGAAATCTGAAGAATGAACGGATGATAGCTTTGGAAATCGGAAGAATGAACGGATGATAGCTTTGGAAATCTGAAGAATGAACGGATGATAGCTTTTGGAAATCTGAAGAATAAACGGATGATAGATTTGGAAATCTGAAGAACGAACGGATGATAGCTTTGGAAATCGGAAGAAGAACGGATGATAGCTTTTGAAATCTGAAGAACGAACGGATGATAGCTTTGGAAATCTGAAGAACGAACGGATGATAGCTTTGGAAATCTGAAGAACGAACGGATGATAGCTTTGGAAATCTGAAGAACGAACGGATGATAGCTTTGGAAATCGGAAGAACGAACGGATGATAGCTTTTGGAAAATGAAGAACGAACGGATGATAGCTTTGGAAATCTGAAGAATGAACGGATGATAGCTTTGGAAATCTGAAGAATGAACGGATGATAGCTTGAAATCTGAAGAATGAAATGATAGCTTTGGAAACGGAAGAACGAACGGATGATAGCTTTGGAAATCTGAAGAATCTGAAATCTGAAGAATGAACGATGATGAAATGAAGAACGAACTTTGGAAATCGGAAGAACGAACGAAGAATGATAGCTTTGGAAATCGGAAGAACGAACGGATGATAGCTTTGGAAATCTGAAGAATGAACGGATGATAGCTTTGGAAATCTGAAGAACGAACGGATGATAGCTTTGGAAATCGGAAGAATGAACGGATGATAGCTTTGGAAATCTGAAGAACGAACGGATGATAGCTTTGGAAATCAGAAGAAAAACGGATGATAGAATCTGAAGAATGAATGATGATAGCTTTGGAAATCTGAAGAATGAACGGATGATAGCTTTGGAAATCGAAGAATGAACGGATGATAGCTTTGGAAACGAAGAACGAACGGATGATAGCTTTGGAAATCGGAAGAATGAACGGATGATAGCTTTGGAAATGAAGAATGAACGGATGAAGAAACGAACGGATGATAGCTTTGGAAATCTGAAGAATGAACGGATGATAGCTTTGGAAATCTGAAGAATGAACGGATGATAGAAATCTGAAGAACGAACGGATGATAGCTTTGGAAATCTGAAGAATGAACGGATGATAGCTTTGGAAATCTGAAGAATGAACGGATGATAGCTTTGGAAATCTGAAGAATGAACGGATGATAGCTTTGGCTGAAGAAAACGGATGATAGCTTTGGAAATCTGAAGAACGAACGGATGATAGCTTTGGAAATGATAGCTTTTGGAAATTTGAAGAATGAACGGATGATAGCTTTGGAAATCTGAAGAATGAACGGATGATAGCTTTGGAAATCTGAAGAATGAACGGATGATAGCTTTTGGAAAATCGGAAGAATGAACGGATGATAGCTTTGGAAACTGAAGAATGATAGCTTTGGAAATCGGAAGAATGAACGGATGATAGCTTTGGAAATCTGAAGAATGAACGGATGATAGCTTTGGAAATCGGAAGAACGAACGGATGAAGAATCTGAAGAATGAACGGATGAGCTTTGGAAATCGGAAGAATGAACGGATGATAGCTTTGGAAATCGGAAGAACGAACGGATAGCTGGAAAATTTGAAGAACGAACGGATGATAGCTTTGGAAATCGGAAGAACGAACGGATGATAGCTTTGAAATCGGAAGAACGAACGGATGATAGCTTTGGAAATCTGAAGAATGAACGGATGATAGCTTTGGAAATCGGAAGAACGAACGGATGATAGCTTTGGAAATCGGAAGAACGAACGGATGATAGCTTTGGAAATCTGAAGAATGAACGGATGATAGCTTTGGAAATCGGAAGAACGAACGGATGATAGCTTTGGAAATCGGAAGAACGAACGGATGATAGCTTGGAAATCTGAAGAATGAACGGATGATAGCTTTTGGAAATCTGAAGAATGAACGGATGATAGCTTTGGAAATCGGAAGAATGAAGATGAATGGAAGAATGAACGGATGATGAAATCTGAAGAATGAACGGATGATAGCTTTGGAAATCTGAAGAATGAACGGATGATAGCTTTGGAAATCTGAAGAACGAACGGATGATAGCTTTGGAAATCTGAAGAATGAACGGATGATAGCTTTGGAAATCTGAAGAACGAACGGATGAAGCTTTGGAACGGAATGATAGCTTTGGAAATCGGAAGAACGAACGGATGATAGCTTTGGAAATCTGAAGAATGAACGGATGAAGCTTTGGAAATCGGAAGAATGATGATAGCTTTGGAAATTTGAAGAACGAACGGATGATAGCTTTTTGAAGAATGAACGGATGATAGCTTTGGAAAGAAGAACGAATGGATGATAGCTTTGGAAATCTGAAGAATGAACGGGTGTTAGCTTTGGAAATCGGAAGAACGAACGGATGATAGCTTTGGAAATCTGAAGAATGAACGGATGATAGCTTTAGAAATCTGAAGAATGAACGGATGATAGCTTTGGAAATCGGAAGAACGAACGGATGATAGCTTTGGAAATCTAACGAACGAACGGATGATAGCTTTGGAAATCGGAAGAACGAACGGATGATAGCTTTGGAAATCGGAAGAACGAACGGATGATAGCTTTGGAAATCTGAAGAACAAACGGATGATAGCTTTGGAAATCGGAAGAACGAACGGATGATAGCTTTGGAAATCGGAAGAACGAACGGATGATAGCTTTGGAAATCGGAAGAACGAACGGATGATAGCTTTGGAAATCTGAAGAATGAACGGATGATAGCTTTGGAAATCTGAAGAACGAACGGATGATAGCTTTGGAAATCTGAAGAATGAACGGATGATAGCTTTGGAAATCGGAAGAACGAACGGATGATAGCTTTGGAAATCTGAAGAATGAAAGGATGATAGCTTTGGAAATCGGAAGAATGAACGGATGATAGCTTTGGAAATCGGAAGAACGAACGGATGATAGCTTTGGAAATCTGAAGAACGAACGGATGATAGCTTTGGAAATCGGAAGAACGAACGGATGATAGCTTTGGAAATCTGAAGAACGAACGGATGATAGCTTTGGAAATCTGAAGAACGAACGGATGATAGCTTTGGAAATCTGAAGAATGAACGGATGATAGCTTTGGAAATCTGAAGAATGAACGGATGATAGCTTTGGAAATCTGAAGAACGAACGGATGATAGCTTTGGAAATCTGAAGAATGAACGGATGATAGCTTTGGAAATCTGAAGAATGAACGGATGATAGCTTTGGAAATCGGAAGAACCAACTGATAGTAGCTTTGGAAATCAGAAGAACGAACGGATGATAGCTTTGGAAATCTGAAGAATGAACGGATGATAGCTTTGGAAATCTGAAGAACGAACGGATGATAGCTTTGGAAATCGGAAGAACGAACGGATGATAGCTTTGGAAATCTGAAGAACGAACGGATGATAGCTTTGGAAATCGGAAGAACGAACGGATGAATAGCAAGAGAGATCGGATGATAGTGTTGGAAGAGTTATTGGCTGATGGCGTTGGAAATCGAAAGAATGATGGGAAGATAGCCTCGGAAATCGGAAAAATGATTGGAGCATGGTGTTGGGAACCGGAAGAATGATTGGATAATAGCGTTGCAAAGCGTAAAGTTAAACGGAAGGTATCGTTGGAAAAACATGGTTAAAGTAAAATCAAACGAAGAAATCTAACCAAGGAAATTTAAATAAATTGTAATTAGCTGAACGAGAAACAACAAACTGAAAAAATGTATTTAGAAGTATGGCAGAACTTAGAACCAATGCACAGTATTTGAATTAATTATTTGCTGAAGTCACGCTAAGTATGAATGAATAGGTGGACTGAACTGATCAGGTGTTCAGATGCGAAGCGACCTTGCGATCACATTCAATCACAAATTGATGATGATGAGGATGATGTATCTACAATTCTCATGACTTTTGCATCGGCATGATCAAAGATAGGATTCTTAATTTCCGTAAAAGAGGAAAGCAAATGCATTGTTTGATTTCTGCGATTTTTTGCGGATTACCAAAAATATGAAGATATTCTTAGTAGTTCAGAGAGAGAGAGAGAGAGAGAAAGAGAGGGGGAAGAGGGAGAGAGAGAGGAATGGAGGCGAGGGAGAGAGAGGGAGGGTGTGGGAGAGAGTGGGGGACGTTGGTAGCCATTTATCTGTCTTGATGATAGTAAGCAAATTACATTACAAACACATTGTCTTATGGCATCTTGTTTAATATCTTCTCAAAATTTCTTACCTCATTTTGTCACGTTAAACCTTGTAGTTTAGTCTGCAGTTCTTCACTCAAGATAGACTGCGTTGTCTGCTGGCTTCTCTTTAAATCACAGTCCCCAAACTTTTAGACCACTGATCTTTTCATGGAATCTTGGAATTCTTCAACGACATCCAGGTATGTACAGAAAATAGCTATAATTTTTGATTATAGGTCTTTGATTGAAACTTGCAGGGAACTATGCATGCAACATAAATCCAAGGAAGAAATAATAATAATAATAATAATAATAATAATATTATTATTATTTTTCTTTAATTAAGGTTAGAAATTCCTTTGTACCTTTCCTTCCTTATTGTGTCGAGATAAAATACACCTTAGCTTCAAATTTTGTTATATACTTTTTCAATTTCTATGTCTATTCTTGGAAATGTCTGTACGTATAATAATAATAATAATAATAATAATAATAATGTATTCTACAACAGGGATTATTGATGTTCCCATATGCCACGAAAATGTGGTATATGTGAACATCAACAATCCCTTTTGTAGTTGGAGCTCTAGGACTGGTTGGAAAAGATTGCAGTAGACTAATTGAAGGGATTCCTGGAAGTCCATGCCTCAAGGAGATACAAAAAATTGTTCTGACAAGTACAGCCCACACTTTACGAAGGGCTTTATCTATCTATTTTTTTTTGTCAGTGGAAAGTGTCATGATGCCATTTCTAACCTTCGGTCCCTGGGTGGGACCCGGAAAGAAATGTGTAAACGCCAGAAATCAAAGAAAATAATAATAATAATAATAATAATAATAATAATAATAATAATAATAAAAATTGACCATCTTGTATCAGGTTGCACAGCCACTGAATATAAAACTCGGCTTGATAGAGTGGGCCAATGTCTGAATTGAAAAATGTGCAATCTTTTACGGGAAGGAAACTGCAAGAATCTGGAATGAACATCACCCAGACCCGGTTAAAAAGATAGAACCTGTAACAATTTTATGGAAATTTACAATACTCACAGGCAGTTCGATCAAATCTAATTGCCCAGACGTCATGGTCAAATACCATGAAAACAGAATGTGCTTTCTGGCAGTCTCTGAAGATTGTAATTTATCTTTTAAGATCTTCAAACTAACAATTAAAATACAAGGATCTTGAAGTGGAAATTTAAAAAATGCGGCATATGAGAACATCAATAATTCCACTTGTCATTAGAGTTCTCGGATTGATTGTAAAAGGTTCCGATAGACTCATTGGAAGGATTCCTGATAGTCCATGTCTTAAAGAAATAAAAGAAATAAAAAACAAACTTTACTCACAAGTAGAGCTCACACATTACCAAGAGCTTTACCTATGTAAAATGTATGTGATATTAGTTTTTTTTTTGTTTTCTTTTTTACGAAGATGATCAGTGGAAAATTTCATGAAGACATTTTTGATTTTAGGTCTTTGGTTGGGACTTTCAGGGAACTATGTATTCAGCATGAATCCAAGGAAGAAATAATAATAATAATAATAACAATAATAATAATATTATTATTATTAACGCGATGCGAAATCGATATTATAAACTAATTGTCAATTCCACGGTCCTTTCATTAGTTGCATAGTATGTGCTTCGCTAGGGCTATATAGGCTTTTGAATTCAGAGTTTTCCTTCTCCTAGACTTGTTTCCACCCAAGGCGGAACAATCTAATTTACCCTACTATTTAAATCTTAACCAGTGGAATCATGGATTTATACTATTAATATTTTCGTGAAAATGAATGCAGCGAAACTCGACTGGAATACGATCTCGGATCTCCGATTTCTGGTTCCGAGTCTTATCTACTACACCATCCACACGTCCTTATTTTTTTCATTAGTATTATTTAAAAAATAATAGTGAGAAAAATTTCATATAAATATGGGTAATGGTAAAGATTAAAAAAAAATCACTATGCCTTTTTATTGAATTAGTTGGCATCTTCGATGGGAAAGATGCGTTTGGTAAGCAGTAGCAAGGGCATTTGATAACTGGCTGGAAATTGGCGAATCTTAGTCGTAAATCACCACAATTTATTTATCGACCTCCATTTGATCCCTAGGAATTCATCGATTCCCTAGATAATCTCACCCAACTCCAGAAGTCAATATCGACCATTTAGGGAATCCCTGCTTTAAATTTGGAAAATATGTCAGGTGTCAATTAGACAGAATTTGAAAGAGTATTTCATCATAAAACGATTTTTGCAAGCAAGACCAAATCAATATATTATGAACAATTTTGTTGATTTGCTCCGATTGATTTTGATTTTCTTCAGAAAATGCAGCCTACATTATTTTCGATTTTATAACGCAAATCAGTATTTTCTGAATAAAATCGGTTATTAACCAACCAATATCGATAATACTTTCCGGATATATTCATATGGTCAATCGTTTCAGTGAATCTCACCTTATAATAATGTTTCCTTATTAGAAATATTATAAGATTGATTTATTTGAGAAGAATATTAGAATTATCTATACATTATACGGAGATAAAATCACTTGCATGGAGATAGAAAATGAATTAAGTAAATGTATACTTAAATATAAAGGTGCGTAAGACAAGTATGTGTCTTTTCACCGGCCTTATTCAACCTTTACAGTGAAGCAATACTTAGAGAATTAGAAGTCCGAAACGAAGAACTGTACCAAATAACAAAATCTACACACTTGAGGAATTTCAACAGCAAAATCTGATAAAATACATATCATATGTAACTCGAAGAAAAACATAATGATATAATCAAGATATTATCATTCCAAACTATTTCAATATTGGAAAGAGCAATAACAGTTACTGGAATTGAGAAACCTATTTTTCTGAAAAATTGTTTTAATAGAAAGATTTTTATAAATTTCAACCGACAATAGAATCTTGACCAAAAGTTTAAGACCACCTAGAAAAATAGTAATATTTCTTTATTATTGCAGGATATTGCATCGAACAGTTTTAGTTAATGTAAGCACTGCAATATTGCACCATCACCAAGATTGTTTGATGGATCGATTTATTTTTAACGGCTTCTCAACATTTTGTTGGTTACTGAAAAACAATATTTTTAGATTGTAAGAATTGTTTGGAGATAATGCTTTACAAATGCATGTCCTACTAATTAACCTATAGATGGGGGATAGAAGAGGCGGATTCATAGCTTCTCCACAGGTATTTGTGCGTAAGTGAATATAACAAACGGGTAAATGAATATGGAATTCGTCTCACCGATTTCCAATTCCGAGTCATTATCCATTTTGTAAGCTTGGATGTTTTAGTTGGTTTAACCAACTAAAACATCCAAGCTTACAAAACCAGGCATTTTCAAGCGGTCAGTCATTTAGGTACTGACCAAAGTCGTCGCTGCTTAACTTTGCTGATCGGACGAGAAACGGAGTTTCAACGTGATATGACAGTTATCCCCACCTCCGAAGTTTGGAACACTCTATGTTTGGGCTGGTTTGAAACGATGTATGTTTCAGCTGATTTGAAAGCTGTGAAGGAGTACAAAGAAATAGTTTTCATGTAATTTTCATATGTTAAAAATATGCCAAAATGAACACTTTCTGCATGAAATCTCAGTTAATAAGGGTGAAAGTTCATAATACTCATGCCAAGTAACAAACTCTTGTCCTGACCAGAAGCAAAATGGAAAAAAAAACCCTAGAGATGATTATATAATAATTTCATGATATACAGCACGCTCGTGCAAATAATTTCTTGTTGCTCTGCTTCTCAGGTCTACTGTCGTGAGTCGTACAGCTTTTTCTTTCAGACTGGTCACTAAATTTCAACTAATATTATACAAACCTGTCCGAAAACGAAGATTGACAGTAGAAATGAAAAAGAAGTGCCTGTCATTTGACAAAAAGAATGAAGATAGCACAGAGGGACAATAAAGAGATGTTGTTCTCTAATGATTCCACACTGCAATAGTTTCTTGTATGTTAGTATTATGTAAGAATGCCTCGAGGATCGAGATATCATAAAAAGTATTTAATACAAACAATGAAACACCCCCTTTGCCAACAAGATGAGTTTTGGAAGAGCTGGTTTATAATTGCTGGACTTTGAAACAAACTCTAAATGCCCCAAAATATCTGGAACTATTGCAAGATAAATAAGGCATTCTCATGCATGCATGCATATATATATATATATATATATATATATATATATATATATAGTTGCAACATATTTATGCATGATGGTGTCACAGTAAGTGCAAGAATGTCTTAAGGAGGTCAAGATCACTTCGTTGTAATAGCTTGTCCCCAATCCTTGCCGACAAAGACAGACAAACAGGCAGCAAATGTCAGGGCTCTTATGGACGCTTTGAATGACGTCTGAAGCACTGGGATTTAAGAATCTCGGGACCAGCATGCCCTGTCGTATTGAAGCGGTTAACACTCTTGTTAGCACTCTTGTTGATCTCCTTGTGATGTTTTCTCAAAAGTGTGCTTTTGTTTGCTTTCATATCTTGAGCTAAGGTCATTAATATTCTGTTTCCGTTTACATTCGTGACACCAGCTTCCTCATCTAGTTATTTGACGAAAAATCTGTTTTTCTTTATTATTACTTTAAAAAAAATCTTTTTGTGACATTTTTAAAACTATTTTAAAAATCTTTTTCTCTTCTGGTTCTTTTCTTATCTTGTCAATATTTGCGATTTTCGTTTTGCGTTTGTGATCGCCGTTCCAATTTTTGGCAATGTGGTGTCACCATCAGTTTACAATGAATTGTTTCTCTTTTGAGTTTAAATCTTTTTACGATCAATCGCATTCGTTACATATTTGAATTTTTTTTTAAAAAGATAGAGATAGCCCTCAACAAAATCTCATACCATCAAATATATTAGTGATGATATTTCGAATAAAGCAGAGCTGAGTTGAAATTCTTTCTAACCAGTCAGCCATGCTCGCAAATAATTTCGGAATGACTGTGATAGATAGATATAAAGATATGAACTCTCCGATATACATACATATATATATATGAAGAAAAATACAAAAAAAATAAGCAAAAATTATGCTGTATTAATGTTAACATAAAGTCGTTTCGGTCTATTTAAGACCATCTTCATGGACATTTTCATTTAAACATAATTAACATTAGAACATATAAAAATTTAACACAAAAGACGATGGACATAAGAGCACAACTAATCCAAACAGATAACTGAAATTTTTATACAAGATCAGCGTTCCGTTTAAATATGATCACGTTGTCGTCACGTGGGCGATGTTGTTAAAACGTATTCGAAGATGATTTCCAAATATATATATATATTATTTATTAGAATGAATCATTCTTATAAAAAGTAAATTAGTAAAGTTAATGAGATAAAATGTCGAAATCACTTCGCTAACTAAATCTTAAAGATGCATTAACCCACTAACCACTCGATGAATGTTATGGTCCTTGTTTTTTTAAAATTAGAAACACTGTATTAGGTATATATATATATATATATATATATATATATATATATATATATATATATATATATATATATATATATATATACTCTCTCTCTTTATATATATATATGTATGGAGAGAGAGAGAGAGAGATTTGAAGACTGGGACAAGGGATATAGACGTCTGCACAAGCTGATAGATAGGTAGATAGATACATACATACATACATACATACATATAAAGATAAGGACTCTAAGTATAAGTAGAGATATTGGGATCAGTGCATACTTATATATATATATATATATATATATATATATATATATAGAGAGAGAGAGAGAGAGAGAGAGATGTGGACACTGACATACATGGTTAGGTATTAGGATCTGAGCATAATAAACTAAAATGATAGATCAATTGATAGATAAATGGAGAACCACAGGTATCTGAGCAGACTGATATATATATATATATATATATATATATATATATATATATATATATATATATATATGGTTCTTAGCAGACTGATATATAGATAGATAGATAGATAGATAGATAGATAGATATGGATACTGAAATAGATGGTGAGATATTGGGATCTGAGTACACTTAGATAGATAGATAGATAGATAGATAGATAGATAGATAGATAGATAGATGGAGAGTTAGAGGATCTGAGCAGACTGAAATGGCTAAATTGATAGATCGATAGATAGATATATATATATATATCTGAGGAGACTGATGCACACACGCACATACACACACACACACACATATATAGATACTTTTCTGTTTTCGAGTTCGTAAGCAAATACAAATACTGGTAGAAAAAAAAACTTATGAAATCTTATTTTATGAAACCCTTTTGCACGCTTCGAAAGAAAAACAATACTTTTCACATGTCAAGAAATAATCTTGATGAAACTGGGCTGCGAAGGAATGATACGTACCACGCAACTCGGTAACATTTCAAAATATCTGTGTGGACAATGGAGATAACAAAGACGAATAGGACAGCTGCAGAGCTGGAAGCTCCCAAAGCAGTGCTGTCACATTGAGACATGACACTGTCCAAGGACCACTACAGTGACAAAGACAAACACTAAGATTGAGATGACAGTCCTGGGAAGGGCTTAGCCAAGAAGACGAGGAACTGTCATGCAACTAATAGATTTCCAAGACACAGCGGACGCGTTTATTTCCACATAGAACCCAAGCCTATATACAATTGTCAGGGCCGCTAAGTTTATTTTTTTGTTTAGCTTTTCTTGTTATTTTACTGTGTTTGGAAAAATCGCTTTTGAGCTGTTTGCGTTAAGAATCGTCATTATATATTTCGCATCAGGCAGCCATCAACGAGGACTTTTCTTCACAGTATCCTCGATTATTTTTATGTACTTATTGAATATATTCGCCTCAGCGGAAACTGATGGTTTACACCGGACATTAGGCAGCAGAAAATTTTATTTTTTTGCTTTCGAGTTCGAATTTCAGTCTGATTCGTTCAGAAATTTAAACGCAAACAAAAATAAATAAATAAAAATAAGGATTACTTAAGAGGAATTGGTAAGATGATGAAAGAGAGAGGCGTAAATATTTTTTAAAAAATGTCGAAGACATACATTAAGACATGTAGAAGCATGAATTAATTTCAATGGCACTGTCGGTGGGGCAGGGAGTGGAATTTGGGTTTCTTAAATGAGACAAAACTTATCCTACAAGTTGGGTGGGGGATTTTTTTTTTTTTAGGTACAGTTCGCCATCTGGAAATTTTCACAAGTATATTTTTCCTATTTACATCTTTTTTTTTTTCAAATTTGCTTATAAAAGTCCGAAATCCACTAACTCGAACGTAGCGAGAAAAAAACTCATGTTCAGTTTACCACAGAGGTAAAACTGCAATTAAATGTAGTGACATCGAGAATTAACATTAAATTAATATGCAGATAAATAATTCTGGTGCACATACGTGTGTATATGTGTGCGGGCGCACAAAAACATACATATATACCGGGTGTCCAAATCGTGTAACAACATGGGATAATTGTCAATCCCACAAAATGTTTACTATCTAAAATACCACTAAACTAATTGAGTTTCTTTTTTGCAGGTTTTCCGATAAGACATTTAGCCATCTTGACACCGTTTGTTATACGAATAACTGAAAAACCCTTTGAGTTATTCAGCTAGAAAGAAAACAGGTTAATATCGTTTTATGCCAGCCCTACTATGTCTTCTCAACTGAGCAATGGTGAGAGGAAAAAGATCATTCGTCTATTTAAGAACTATCCAGAGAATGTGAACAAGTTTAAAAAAGAGGGAACAGTAGCGAGAAAAACTGGATCAGGAGGTCACAACAGCAAGCGCAGTCATCATTTCAAGTCCTAGCTAAATACATTCTTATTGTTCAAAGTAGTTCTAAAGCCTCGGAGAATTTCAGTAAGATATCTTTAATCATATCTAAGATACAACAGCTCAAAGCTTAATCTAAGAATTGGACAATTTTGCTGCTACACGATTTGGACAATTTTGCTATTACACCCGTGTATATATATATATATATATATATATATATATATATATATTACGCGCAAATACCTTTGGGAAAGGTATGAATCCATCTCTTCTTCCCCCTGCTATGGGTTGAATAGTAGAACAAACTATGAACCACTCTACCACGGCAACCTACTGCTGGAAAATCTTCTGCCTAGTCGGTCAGAGCTTGAAAGAGAAATAATCGCCTAAATATGTATCTCGAATGGCACTTAACTGACTGGTTGGGTGAATAACAGCATTAAAAAAACAAAAAAAAACAAATAAAAAACAGCAAGCACTTGGGTTTCTACTTAGTCATCAGACCACGTCAGTAGCTTACCCACTTGGGATCAAACTGACTCTGCTAGACTAACTATATGATAAGCAGCCTTCTAGTTTTTGTTTATTTCTTTCGGGTTAAACTCCAATATAAATAATGCTGATTTGAACAAAAAAACCGCACACAGTGAGCTGATGGGGTATTTACATTATGCCCCGTCTAGTCGTTGACTTATAATCAAGAATGCTCTGCTTATTGTCTTCGTTTAGCTTTTGTCAGTAATGCTGGTTTCTTTAGGCTCCCCATTCTTCCCTGTATTTTCAATTTCGAAATTCTGACAGCGAAATCAGAAGTGGACATTCTAATAGAAAAAATGTCTCTCAAAATCCCTGCAAAGTATTAAGAAACGGAAAATATCGTTAGAAACAAAGAAAAGAGCGTTGAAATGCTACATATTATCAATTCTTCTATATAAGAGTTAATACTGGATAATTTCCTAATTGTTTCTATAGGAACAGGATGACAATATCATGGACAATGCATGTAAACAATGAGGAAGTTTTAAGGAAAATGGAGCAAAAGGTGCATTCAAATCAAGTAGGACAGAGGAAAACGGAGAATCGCCTAACTAATGAACCAAAGAGTTGTGAGTTTAAATACCTACAGCAGAGGTGAACAGATTTTTTTGAGTTAAAGGGAAATAACGGATACTGGGATATCCGCAAGAGACATGGCACGTTGAACTAGTGACATGGTACAAGAAAATAGAGGCTTAAGAAAATCTACGAAATAAAAGGTTTAGTTTGAAATTCCAATCAGAAGAAGTCCGGAGCGCACTACGGCCGAAACGTCGTGAATATGGTAACAAAGTGTAAATAAAAAAGAAAACAACAATACCGAAAAAACAAAAAACTCACTGGATTAAAGCGTTTGAGAATTTGGTGACATACTTGTACTAACCGAGCAGTAAGTACTAAATAAAAAGTAGATTAAATAAAGTGTTCAGTTCAGAATTCCCTGCAGATCGATATATTACACAAGTCTCTATATTGTCACGTGGTCACGGCGCCTACCAGCCTAAAGAGAAAGATTTTCTCACCAAATATTGACGTAATTGGGGATGTCCTGAATTTCAGCATACGTTAACAATATTATATATATATATATATATATATATATATATATATAAAGGAAACTTAAGATAATGGGTCTGTCTGATGGATTAAAACTTATCAAATAATGGCATAAGCAACAAGACAAACACTGGGGAAGTTTATATAAAATTTTATCTCACAACAAATAAGTTATCTGCAAAAACAATGCCGAGACAAAAGAATGACTATGGAAATATATACAGTAATCAATGATCGACAGAGTTCGAAGGCATAAAATAAATGGGGTCGAATCAACGAAGTCCCTCTCTTTCCTTTGTGAAATGGTGTATGCAAACTTCGGTGGGGGCGAGGGTGAAGCAAATGATATCTTGATCTTCTTATTATTATTGAAATCTCTCCCTTTTTTACATCTCTTCGCTTCTTTTCAATTTTATTTTTATTCAATTTTTATATTCTCCTCTCATATTGAGATCAGTTTCACTGCCTCTCTCCTTGATTTTTCTTCGTATTTCCACCACGTCTCTTTCGGTGCGTTATTGCATAATCCAAGCAAGCCCCTTGTTTAAATCTCCGTTAGGTCAGTTTTTTTTACAGTTTTTTTTTCGCCAAGACATGTTATCTTGAGGACCTTTCGTTAAGTTGGCCGGGAGGTTTAATTCTTCCTCCACATCCTCCATCGACCAAGACGTATCGTCATTCGTTTTTCGCAAACAATATAGTGTAAAATGTTTTATAAATTATTAATTTTATAGTGTTACTAAGTGAATTTCAAAGACAATATTTCGAGAGATGTACATCGATGTATTCAACCTTGTGCATGTCTTTTTGTTCGATTAGATTTTTAGAACGAACCCGCAGCGTTGTTGCCGTCATAGCTCAGTGGTTCAGAGCACTGGCCTCGTAAACCAGCAGTTGCGAGTTCAAATCTCACTGATGGCATGGAGTAATATTAATTTAAAATCATTTAGATCTTGGTAATTTTGTAGTTTTTTTTTCAAGCGTATCACCCTAAGCAAAGCGGGAAGCCACGAGGACGCAAGGGGTTACAGAAAATTTAGAGCAAGATCAGATAGGAGTGATAGAAGAAAGGATGAGGAGAAGGGTAGTGGATAGATCAAGGCAACTGGAGATGTCGATTGACATTACATTTGTATAGCTGGAGATTTGGCCGGAAGGTTTAATTTTTCCTCCGTCGACCGGGACATTGCGTATCGCAATCAACGTTCACCGACACCATTTTCGCCACCTGTGTCCCTTCTTTTCGTGTACTGTTTCAAAATTCTCGTGAATCCGCCTGCTATTCTCTCTACTTTTCATCGTTGCCGCTATTTTTTCCAGGTTCCGCCTCAGCGCTGAGAAAGGGGAATGTCGAATCGTTCGCCATGGGCCCGCGTCAGCTGACCCGGACTGTGTGCATATTAATCAGCCTCACATTGTCCTCCTCACCTCCTACCACGTTATAAAATGCACCTGAGGAAGACCGCTGTGAAACGTTGCGATGACGATAACAATAGTCCGAATATAAATAGTGTGTAAATAGCCAAGAATTTATCTATCATATTTAATATGTCCCGGAAGTATTGTTCGAAGTTGCAAAGTAGTTTTGGACTACAGTAACCGGGTAGGACAATCTAGCAAGTAACTGTAATGGACTGGTCCTCGTCGTAGTGGTAGGCAATAGGCGAAGACAATAGGCGTAGTCTATACATCTCCACATCAGTCTGTATTCATGGCTGACACCAGCCAATCTTATTACTGTGAGGGAGAACCCAGGTGTATGCATATTCATTACATCAATATTCATCTTTAATAATTCTTAATATTGGAAAGACTGGTTGTTCCAAGAATTGGTGTTAAAGTTTTCTCTATCGTTAGTCCTTAAAGAGCACTTCTAATTCTGCATATGATTTATCGCATTGGAATGCCTTTTTGTGTATCAATGGTAGACCATCAAATCTTGGTATTATAGAGTAGTCTTTAAGTAATCTTGACCATGATTAGGTCGCGTTATTAATTAATCGCTTTATTAATTTTTTATGTTTCATAAATTATTCAGTGTTCATCGATTTGGTTTTGGTCTTGTTTGTTTAACGGCATATCGACTCCTTATGGGTCATTTAATGCCAAAATTTTTTCCAATATTTTTTTTTTTTTTATATCTTTTTTTTCTATAAAATGTATTGCTGGTAATTTTTATATTTTCATGTTTTTATCCCACTTTGGAGGTTAACTATTTGCTGGGACCCTAACTAATGTTATTACCTTGGATCAAGGTTGACATGGGAACCACAGCAATTAAGAAATGGTTCAACGCACTTCAAAACCTCTCGAACAGAGGCCTTGCTGCTGGATGTAGTTTATGGTCATACCCAGGACCACAGTGTTCATCGACTTTTTTTTTTATAAACGTTTATATCATGTATCTATTTGTTCACCGTTCGCATTCTTATTCATGGGAACATCCCTCCTTTGTCCAAGACGATGATGGAAATTTGCTTATTTTTAGGCTAGATATTCTAATGTTTTAATATGGCTCTGTCGTAGCGTTTTTTCATTGTTTATTCATAAAGTTGCAGTGATTAACCTTTGAATTAAACTTCCTAAAACAGCATACAATAGCAAGAAGTAATTCATGATTGAACAAATTAGGAGAGTTGGATTTCTGCTTTTTTCCAGGGCGTACTTATGTCATGAAGTTGATGTGCACGTCTCGTAAAAATATTGTCCTCCTCTTCTCCTACCACCCTTTGACCCTTTATTTCACCCTTTGACCCGTGGACTTTACATTTTCATCTATGTATGAAAGACCGCCAACTCCTCTATGGAGCTGTTATTTATATAGCCATCGGTATGAGGCGACGATATATACATTTTTATACATCAAGAACAATACTGGGAAAAAATATATGACAAAGTAGAAAAAAGTTTTCCTTTAAGGCGTTTCGTTTTGTAGGACTTTATCGGACTAAATTTGTTATGTTGATGCGACTATACATGTACACGAACGAGGGATGCTGGGAATTCATTTTTTAAAAAATTTAGTCCATTGAAGTCCAAAAGAACGAAATGCGTCACGCTAAAACTTTTTTCCACTTTGTCATATATTTTCCCCCAATATCCATCAGTTCAACGTTTTTTTTCGTCCGAGCACATATCAGGCGCAGCTAGACCCACAGGGGTCCACCTCTAGGGGTCACCTTTGACAACAGATGAATCGCGATTCTCTACTCCCGGATGGGGTCATCTCGGGTTAACTCATTTGGCTTCTGGTTCATTTGATCTGTTTTAAAATTCCGTGCAAAGCCTATCCCAGCGTAATACTACACTTAGTTTGGCATAAGGACACGAATATAATGAATCCTTATCCTCGCAGTGGTTTGAATCCATTTATGTATGTCTAGGTGTGTGGTGTGCGAATGTGTCAAAGAAAGAGAGAGACAGAAAGAGAGATGTGGTGACCGAAAACTTCTCATTTTTTAGATATATTTTGTGAGAGAAACAGTTTCATTGTAGGCGCATGCGCGTGTAGGGTTTTGTAAACAGGCTTTCACGACAAAGAGTCCAGAGCAAAGAAATAAAGGAACAAAAAGGTTGGGAAAGAAAATAGCCTAACCACGGTGAATACCCACAGTAACGATGCCTTCCTTTATCAGAGATGTCAGCATAATCACGCCGCCTCTCCTGATTTGTCGTCTTCTATCTGGCACAATAAGAAGGCCCGCAAAAAAAGATCCTGACAATTCGTACATAGACGAGGAAGAAAATGCATTGAAATATTTGCATCTTTCGAAATCCTTGCACGTACACGTATCCATATTTACAAAATGACGGGGTCCTTTCCCACGGAGGTTTCAGAATGGTAATTCCATTTCCATGAATAGTTCTGTGAAATCGTCATTAGCGTCAATACTTCGACATTTTTTTTCCAAAGAATTTACTTCATTTGTTTCTTTTCTCCTTGAAATGATATTTTTGTAATCTACAAACTTGACTGTGATCTCGTTCGAACCTTTCTTCTATTTTTCGATATTTAAAAAAAATCATCGCAAATAAAGTCACAAAGACGCAAGGGAGGTTGTTGAGTGTTAAAGAATATGAGAAAAAAACACTGTTATGCAGCGATAACAATGCAAGAACAGGAATTAAGATGACTGAAGTTAACGATTGACATTGCATTTAAATTTTTGAAGCCCAAAATTGAGTGAGAAGCAAGAATCTGGAAAAGAGTTCCACAGTACGTAACACTTCAGCACTCTTTATCTTTGTTTCAAAAAAAATTCCGCTGGTGCCTCAGACTCACCACGGAGGCCTATATCAAGTTTCTTGAGGCAGTAGTTCTGCCCTGGGTCAAGAGTGTGGCTGTTGGAAGACCCTATGTCTGGCGACAGAACTCTGCACAATGCCACACAAGAAAAAGAACCCAGACATGGCTTTTAGACAATTTCTGCGACTACAACACGCCTTATATCTGGTCACCTAACTCCCCAGACTGCAAACCCTTGATTATTATGTGTGGGGCGTAGTTGAGAGGACAACAAAAGCCCTTGTAACACCAAAGATGAACTGCAGGCAAGAATTATGGCAGCATTCATCAACTTAAACATGGAGATCGTCAAAGAGAGTTGCAAGAGGTTCGAAAGTCATCTGGCGGTCATGGTTGAAGCCAATGGAAATTTTATTGAATAAATTGACACTTTAGTATTTCAAGATATTACTTTTTGTAATTACGTAATTTTGTTAAAAAGTGATGTCAGTCTTATTTTCATTTTTGTGTAATTTAGACAATAACTTATCTATTGCACCATATATATATATATATATATATATATATATATATATATATATATATATATATATGAAGATATGAATGTTCATCAGGTAGTTGAAAGGTCAGTCAAAACATGTAGAGGGCACAAAGTGTCATAATTCAATGTCTCGCAAAACGTAAGCTTTTTTTAAGTGTTTAAATGAATATTGTTTATTTTGTGATTAGATTGTTATGGTATGAGATAGATTGTAATCCTTTGTGTCCTCCATATGTTTTGACAGAACTTTCAACCATTTAATGAACATTCATGAACGTTCTCAAATTTAAAAGCCTTCATAAACCAATGACACTCGCTTTTGTACATAAACACGTGCAAGGAAATAAATTCTACTTTGCCTTGATAAACTCCCTCAGAGAAAAAAACGCATCGGCTATTTATTCATGTATATATATATATATATATATATATATATATATATATATATATATATATATATATATATATATACCCAAGTATATAATTGGTGTTTTTTTAAAGATCGGAATAGTTATTAATACCTTAATTCGTTGTCAGGCTCTTTGAATTTTCCCTATACTTTCATTTTGACTTGTCATTCTAGCTTTTGTAACAACGTTTTCCCCTTGCGAAGGATCTCTAATTAATTTGAAACTTCTAAAACCATTTATTTTACATTCAACATCATCACTTGATAAGACACCGGAGGTGTTGAAACAAAATGGCTATTTTTGTAGTGATTTTATAACATATTTATGTTATAATTTTTTAAATAATTATATATATATATATATATATATATATGTGTGTGTGTGTGTGTGTGTAAAAATATATAGAAAATAGGAAAGAACTCGTTAGGTAAATAATCCAAAGTTCTTTAGTATTTTTGTTATTATTTTTAAAAAATAGTGCTTGATACAAAGGTAGAGCATAAATATAATTATTTATTTAAAAATATGATTCAACGCTACACAGCGTTGGAATCGTATTTTTAAATGAATAATTATATATATATATATATATATATATATATATATATATATATATATATATATATATATATGCATGTATATATATCTCTCTCTTTCTAAGAGAGAGAACGAGAGAAAGGAGAGAGGAGGGAAATTGGTTGAACTACCTCAATAACGGCTTAAAGTTTAATCTCTGGTGCATCAAGTTAGTTATTAATTGTTTACAAGAATAAAACCTCAATTTCCTCGAACTATTCCCTTTTATGCTAAAAGAAAATTTCGTTTCTCTGTCGTTTTCCTTTTATTGTCAGTGTAGCTTATGAAGAGTTACGTTTTCCTAGTGTCGTTATCTCTATAAACTGACACTATTCACTTATTTATATATGTGGGTGTGTACATTGTTGGACGTTGTTTAAAGGCGAAACAACCCTTTATATTGACTTGCAATATTAAAACCAGCCCGGCCAGGCAGTTATTAGATTTTCAGCCTTCCCTGCTGCTCCTTTTGTTTTTAATATAAGAAAAGAAAATGAAAGTAAAACTCTAATTTTGTATTGCTTCTTGTATTTTCCCGCGGTTCCCGGAAGCTACCGAACTATTTAAAAACTCTTCTTGTAAATCAAAAAGGGGACAAACAAGTATCTTTAAATCAGAACCATGTCACTTGGGATTGTCGTTTATTTGCATGGAAAAGAAGGAAACAAAAAAAAAATATTAGAGTCGTGTTCACTAATCTAAGGAAGACATAAGTGACCCTTCAATGTCACAATAGCCCACACATGACATTGCTTAAATCTTAGTTCAAACGGATGGAGGGCAAACAAAAAGAAATAATGTAATTTTCTTCCATGAACAAACAATGCACGCAGATGTGGTTTGGGATGAGAAAATTGAGAAGATGTTGGAGAAACGAAGTTGGGAAAGAAAAATAAAAGAAGGAAAAAAAAAATAGAAGACAGAAAAAATGAAGAAAAAAATATGAAAAAGAAACAAAAGATAATTACGTAGAGATAATGACAAGAAAAAGAAAAAAAAAAGAAGAAAAATAAAAGGAGAAGAAAAATAGAAAGCGAGAAAAGAATGAAAATGAATGAGAGGGAAAATGAATGAAAATGGTGTAATAACGAAGTCAAGGGAAGAAAGCAGAAAAAGAAGGAAAAAAAAATTAAAGAATGAAAATTAAAACTATATAAAAAAAACATAAAGGAAAAATTTAAAAAATATAGAAGAAAAATAAAGTACAGAAGAAAAAAGAGAAGATGGAAGAAGAGAACAAAAGAAAGTGGAATATGGGAAAAGGAGAAAAAAACACGAGCATTGAAACGTCGAAAATGTATATATATGCGAAGGGAAGGTGTGAGAGAAATATAAGACAAGCTGTTTACAGTTTTACACCTAAAACCTTAAATATACAGAGACGCCCAGCTTTAAATTTAAATTCTGGCGCCTGTGTACCGAGATATTTAACTTAATCGATATCATTCGGCATTTTATCTTATTTTGCTGTTTTTATTCTTTTTGTCGCTATGGTTTTAATTATTCGACTGTTGTCATTTCGCAGTTTTGTGATGAAAGGAGATAATTTGTACATACCTATGGTAAAGTTTAATTTATAAAAAGACACAATAAAAACGTATTATCAAGGATAACACACACACACACACACACACACACACACACACACACACACACACACACACACACATATATATATTGCAATGCAAATAAGTATAAATAAATGGAAATATACTTTTCCGAAGTAGAACTAGAGTTAAATAAAGTGATCAATACTATAAAGATACAGCAAGAAAATAAATTAAATATAATATATATATATATATATATATATATATATATATATATATATATATATATATATATAACATTAAAAGTCAATGCCCAGAGGTGACAGTCTGTTTCCATGGCTTTACGATTGCGTTAAGCATGAAACAAACTGACTCTAGGCGTTGACTTCAATGTCCACGTTTATATTTACATACGATATATAGGATAGCTTAAAACTATAGTTTATTATTTGGAATGCGAATAAATCAAATAACTTCATATTAGCAACCGTATATACGTGAGTTAACATGCATACACAGGTAAGCGAATAAATATTTACTCAATTTAATATAAGGCGTAAACAAAATAGTGCTCAATGTGGCTAGATAGAGCTAAGAAGTATATATTAATAAACATACATATACCTACGTTCGAAGTGCAACGTTTCGTTGTTCTACCAAATCATCAGGCATGAATTATTACTTTTGATTTAAAAGAAAAAATATACTGGCTCTCATGGGAGGAAGGATAAATTAAATACAGATTCAAAGATCAAATTTAATATAAACGTAAATTAATATTGGGGTGTAAATACAAAATGCTGAGTGTAGATAGGCGGCTATTGTAAAAAGAATGCAAAAAAAAAAGGGGCAGAATAGTAAATTGGAATTTCGTCGCCAAATCTACACCCTTTTCTGGCCGCGGCGACCGATGCAACCTGTGTTTGCTGGAAAAAAGATTCATCCTCAAAATTATTAATGACCGAAATCTACTTAATAAACGAAATGAACTAATGTTAGCTTGTAATCACATGAAAATATTTAAACATTTCTCTTTTTTAATATTTTAATTCTGGATAAATATATTATCCAAATATCTCATGAAGTTCCCATATTTTAGGCTTCGTATTGATCATCGTCACCCACTTGAACCATTTTAATGCCTGTTATGACTTAACCAGTTCACCGGCGTTCCTCTTTTAAACTTTAAGCTTGCCTTTTTTACAATAGCACCCCCTACCTACACTCTACATTGTGTATTTACACCCCAATATTATATTAAGTTTATATTAAATTTGATCTTTGAATCTGCGTATTTTCAATTAAAATTTTATTAAAAATACGACTTACTGATATTCAGACGGCCCTTTTAAGAAATCTTTGTGTATAAAATTACAAAGAAAAATGCCAAAACCTTTTTTTTATCATTGAAAACCCCAGACGACACGCGAAAAACGGATATCATTGTTTGTAAGTAGCCACCCCTACCCCACCTTAACTTAACCTGACTTTGAAAGTAACTTATATTTGATACATAAATTGTCTATAGAAATTAAAACCCAACCACCCCTTGTCAAAATAATTGAATTTTCCGTAATCTAAACAACTTAAAATATTGAGATTGTGTTTATATATTAAGTAAATTTCTTAATAGGTTATTCCAAAAATCCTTTGAGAACGGAACGGAGCTATGGATATTAAAAAAAAATTTAGTTTCTCTTTTGAAACATGGTAAATCCTATGTAGCGATGGAACCATATTTTTTTAAATAGAACATAATTACAATATTATGCTCTACTGTTTTGTATCGAGCACTGTTTTTTGAAATTAAAAATAATTACTATGAACACCAGATTGTAAATCTTACTGTTCCACAATGTCATCTTACACAGTTTTTTTGCCACAATCTATCTCCCACATTTAGATGGCTACAATTTGTCCGTGCATCAAATATTAGGGTCACATTTGGTATATCGCCTTTGATGTATCTCGAGAATCAAGAAAGAATATGCAGCTCACCTGGCATTCCGTTTTTAACCACTTTTCCACTGCCGTTTGCTGACTTCCTTTTATATTTCCTATAAATATTTTTCACCGTAATTGTTTTGATGACCTTACATCGTTGGTATCTCGGCTTTCCGAATTGAAGTGAAATATTATATTAGAAGGCCTCTTAATTTCACTACTAAAGTTGTTAATTTTAAGCAGACATTCTATGCCTATAGTTTTCGCTTGAGGCACTCCATTCTGACTAACAACGACGATATTCAAACATTTAAATGCTATTATTATTTTAAAACGCTATAAGCATTCAGATTCCTTGATTTATAATCGGTGAGATGTATGCTGATATGAATAACGAGAAGGAAAATTAGAACGAAACTGACACTGTTGCATAGAACGAGAAAGGGACTGATGAAACTTTTGGCACACAATGAGGAAAGAGGGTTTGGAGAATCTTTACGCTCATAGCACATTTAAAATAAGAGACAAGGAGGAAAACAGCAAGTAACGTACCAAAAGAGCTTCTGTAAGTGGATAGTAGAATAGACTAGGAGGGATAGTAAAATAAAAAGAGCTATAAAGGTTAGATAGCTGTGAAGAACCATGATATGCGATGTCATGAAAGGACATGGTACAGAAAAGAAGAATTGCCATGAATTCTTGATAAAGATAGTGAAATACAGGGTGTTTCAAAAAATTTGATATCATTTCGCAATTTAATAACTTCAAATTTTAATAGCATCTTTATGTTTAATGTTTGTTTTATGTTTTTATGTCTTTATGTTTTTGTGTTTTTCTTATTTGTATTTTTATGTTCTTTAATCTTTAATCTTTTTCTTTCCAGGTATAAAAATGCTATTTACTAGAAGAGAAAAGGCGTTGTGTGTATTGGAGTTTGCTAGAACACAGTCAAACAAGACTGTGCAGCGTGCATTTATGAGAGAGTTCTCTAGAAAGTCACCAACAGGAATGCAGATTTGTAGATGGCATAAAAAGTTCAAAGAGGAAGGCTGTCTGTGCAGAGCAAAAGGATCCGGACGACCACAAACTTCACATCTGTGAAATCGTTCACATAATCCACATGCTTTTGAATTTCTCATTCAGATTTGGAAGAATAAATCTTATGATCTTCAACATTAATATTTTTTAATTTCATTTGCCTTAATCATGTACTTTCTGTGATATTTACATCTCAAAGGATATCAAATTTTTTGAAACACCCTGTATTTTCCCGTTGTCGTCACCACACTTTTAATTTCATAGACTAGTCAACCATACTATTAGGTTGGTGCAAAAATAATGACGTAATAATGTCGTTTTTTGACGTATTTTTTAAGGTCAAAAAACGACATTATTACGTCATTATTTTTGCACCAACCTAATATTTAATCCGTCATTTAGTGTTGGTGGAGAAAAATGGATTCATGCTTTTCCGAATTCTATAAGTGTGAAGTAAATGTAACTGAATTTGAAATCGATTCGGAATTTCGGAATTGATAACCGTTACACCACCCGTACATTGAGTAATAAATATGGTAATAATAATAATAATAATAATAGTAATAATTGTAGAACTGTTAGCCGTAATCGGGGGGATGCTGATGTCTTTAATAGTAGTTGAATCAATAGTTTTTATATCTTATTTATCTAAAAACCTACCATTCGCCCATGCTTAGAATATGCTGCCCTGCTATTTACCTCGAGCTCCTTGATAAAATCCATACAAGAATCAGCAATATTATTGGTCCTAATCTGATAGCTCGGCTTCAGTTGCTTTCTCACCAGCGTAAGATTGTCTCTCAGTTTCTTTTCTATGAATATTTCCATGGTAATTGTTCGGATGAGCTCTTTTTGAATTTAAGCGCTGTATTAGACTGGCGGCGAGATCTCATCAATTGACAATTGAGCTGGCTAGATGTAACCGTAAGTTCTATGCTAACAGTTTCTTTTCTCGCACTTCTCGCTTGTGGCAATCCCTTCCGGCTCCACGCTTTCCAACCAAATTTAATCTGCAAAAATTTAAATGCAGTGTCAATTGCTATCTACTGTCCCCAGATTACGATTTCCTCTTCCCTTATTAATGTTTCTGTTTCTGTTCCCAATTCTTCCACACTCTTTGTCTTAGTGGCTTTTCTGCCTTGCATGGGGTGACACCGATTAAAAAATAAGTTACAAAGCAAGACAATCAACAAAACTGAATCATACAATAAAACAGTGATTTTTTTTTACTTTATTGAAACTTTAACAGGAAAGTAAGAATACTTTAAAAAATGATGCATCTTTACATGACTCATATAGCTGTTGGTGGAGCCTATAACATTATGCATGCTGTAAATTAAATTTTAAAAAGTCTGTTTTGCGATTAAACGTCGTGAAGTGTTTTCGAGTAAATCAGTTTTTTATTAAATTTAGCGGGAAAGAATAATTTACTCTTCTTTACTGTCCTCTCCTTTCTACTACTACTACTACTACTACTACTACTGTTACTTTGCATGAGTTGACTTTGATACGTCTTCGCTATTCCTTCATCAACACTTGGCCAGGAGAAACGCTCACACACTGCCATGGCTTCTTTTATTCTCGCTTGGTTCCCATTAATATTTGCCACAGCTCAGGGTTTTCTTTCAAATTACTGGATGGAATTGGATAAAACTGCCAAAAAGCCGTTTTTCCGCGAAGCTCACAGTTCCATTTTACCTCGAAGTTAATATTTATGCTTTGTGGGTATCGAAGAACATATAAAATCTTCTATTAAATGCTAAAGGCAACTATAAATCAACGCTAGGCTTAGAACTCGGAGTCCATTCACGTTTTCTAAAGTTTGAAACGGAAGAACTTTTTTTAGAACTGATTGTTTTGATAAAATCAATCAATCAATCAATATTATAAAAATGATATTAAGACTATTATGTGCCGTGTCAATTAAGGATGTAGATGGTCATGGTTCTTCACAAATTCCAGTCTATTAATGTTTTTTTAGTTATTCTTCAAATTTTACTATCCATCTTTGTCCTTTTTTCTGCTATCCATTGACACAAATTCAATGAGTAGGTTGCTCGCCGTGTCCTCCTTTTTCTCTTGTCTTCACTGTATCATGTGAGTTTCAGATTCTCCAAGACCTCTTTCCTCGTTATGTACCTCCCGAAATTTTAACTGTTTATTCTCATTGTAAGGAGATGTCCCCTGTTAGTTCATATTTACCTTAAATCTTCCTCGTTGCACACACGTGGTTGATCAACATTTCTGCCGTTTCACGTTTCTTGGTTTGTTAGTAGATTATCAAACATTAACTTCTATATTGGGGATTTTATATTACATAGCAGTTCAGTACCGTTTCTTTATTTCTAATGAAATTTTCTTACCTCTTAATACTTTGCTTTGTTTCTGTAAGACACCTTTTCTACTTCATGTGCCATGTTTTCCATCATATGCTACTACATTAACCAGATGGTAAAATTTATTCAACTCCTGGATGGTAAAATTTATTCAACTCCTGGATGGTAAAATTTATTCAACTCCTGGATTTTGACGTCTCCAATATGTAGCTGACATTCGAGTTGACTCTTGCTGAGAGACATGTATTCTGTCTTCTAACAGTTTATAGTTTTTTCTTCTTGCTTTCTTTCCATTACTACCCCATATAAGAGTTCTTTCAGTCTCTCTTCTGAGTCTACCAAAAGTCTCAACAAAGTGTTTGATACATATGTTGTTAATATTTAGCTCATATCTTCGGTGTTTCTTTTTGTGATACCAGCTTCTTATAGTTTATAGTTTTTTTTTCTTCTTGCTTTTCATTACAACCTTGTCTAAGAGTTCTTTCAGTTTCCTTTCTGGGTCTGCCAGCAACAATGTTCTAACCTAGTACGAGGATTTAGAAAATACAACTTTATTTGCTTTATTTATAGATAACAGAACTTGCTTTATTCTTTTCTGAGCTATGAACTTTTCCGTAAATTCTATGCTAATAGTTTCTTTTTTCACACTTCTCGCTTGTGGGACTCTCTTTCGGTTCCATGCTTTCCAGTCAACTTTGATCTTCAAAAATTTAAATACAATATCAATCGTTAACTATTGTCTTTCTGGTTACAATTCTATTGTTATCGATCCTTAATAACGTTTCTGTTTTCCACTTTTTTCGCACCCATAAAACCCTTGTAACTCCTGGAGTCTTAGAGGCTTTATTGCGTTGATTGTGGTGATTTCGATTAAAAAGTTTTGCAAAATCTTGATAAGTAAAAAGCTTGCATGAAGCGGAAAGATTATATTGAACCAATTGCTAGAGATGCTGCTAGGGAAGTTGTTTCACTGTGTTGTGCTAGACAATGTTTCTCCTCAGAATCTATGTCTATTAGTCTACCATTCGTCCATGCTTATACTATTGCTGCTACATATGGTCTGGTGTTCCTGATTTATATTAAGATATTCCAGATAAAATCCACAAAAGAATCAGCAATATTATTGGTCCTGACCTGGCATTTGGACTTCAGTCACTTTCCCACTGCCATAACGTAGCTTTCTTGTACCTTTTCTTACAGTTAATAATCTTTCCTTCTCGATTTTCTTGATTCTTCTTGCAGTTTTCCTTCTGAGTTTGTCATCAACACAGTGTCATCTACTTATTCATGCTGTTAAGATGATGCCCGTCAATAATAAATCCTGGTACTAGAAGCATAAAATGTATTAGTTATTTGGTACATGCTGGTACAAGATGCATCCTATGAATTAGATTGTTTAAATTGTTTGATTTGTTTTTATGGCTTATCAACCACTTGCAGGTTATTTAAAATCAGGAAATATTTTTAGACTATAAGAATTTTTGGAGATTCTAATATTTTGCAGATTAACGTAATACAAGTCCTACTAATTAATCCATAGTTTGGAGAGAAGAAGTGGATTCATGCCTTTCCTAAAGGTATTTGTGCGTAAGTGAATATAACAAACCCGAATGGAATTGAAACTTGGCTCTCCGATTTCCAATTCCGAGACGTTAGCCATTACACTACCCGTACACCCATACCTGCAACATCTAGTATTCTCAAGCGGTCATCCATCTAGGTTATGACCAGGCTCAACGTTGCTTAACATCGGTAGTTATCTTCTACTGCCGAAAATATAGACATTTCTCTGTATCCTATGACCTACTGGGCGGGCCTCAGTACGCAAAGCGAATGCAGTCAGCTTTCCTTTGCTATCTTATCTAAGAGTTTTGAGGCTTCCCTTCTGAGTCATCCATCAGGTGAGTGCCATCTGCGTATCTTATCTTGTTAAGATTATGTCCGCCATTAATAAATTCTAAGAGATCGTTTACTTCTCTAACGATTATCTGGGTTAGATAAATCCGATGAGAAAGGCATCCTTGTCTTATTTCTATTTTTGTCCATTCACTCAATTCGTTGCATATCCGCATGCAGGCTTTTGTTCCCATGAAAGCTTACGTATTTACTCGAATTTCTTTCCGATGTAAATACTTTACTAGAATTTGAATTATGTTTTTCTGTCGTAACTTATCAAATGTTTTTGCGTAAAATATAAAACATGGGCATCGGTCTTTCTGCATTTGTATTGCTCTGGCTGATAGCATTCGGATCATAAAGACTCTATTTCTTGTTCCATTGTCTTGGACGAGGCAACTCTGTTCTTGCCCAACTTCCGGTCTAGACTTTATCAAGAACATCATTATTAACAATGCGAAAATCTTTCTTTAAAACTGATTCTTTTATTCCTTTTCGAAAGAATCTAAGCCAATATTCACATTGTCGATTAGATAAAAAGAAAGCCAGTTATGACGCTGTAAATATTCGAGTGCTTTCTTTCTAGCATTACAATGAATATTGTAAATTCAGCAGTTGATCTCGTGGATTCGTGTTTTTTTAATTATTTCACATCAAACAGTGCTATAAAGGGGTTACTGAGCGCGAGAAAAACTTATTGAGGAGAAAGGAGACCATAAAAGAACAGAATTCAAAGAGACAGAAGATAGTAATTGACGCTGCATGTAAAATTTTGAAAATCGTAGTTGGCAGGAAAACAAGAAGCCGGTGGAGAATTCAACAGCGTGAGATAAGAGAGTTAGTACCTGCAGTTACATCTACATTTCAAACGTCAATAAACATCGATCTTTTGTACATTTAATTCGATAATAAAATGTTCTGTGTCATTATTATGTTATTACAATATATTTACGAGATAGGGAACGATCTTTTAAGCTTTATTGACAGTTTGGTGTAATATCATTTTTTACTGTTTGCATTTACGTGGTTTGTTAGAATTATATAAACTCTTTGTCCACGGCCTCTTGTCTGTGTTTTCCGTTACCGCCTGTACTCATAATGAGGCTACTTGTCTGGCATAGCTATCGAGACTCCTATTCACTCCAGACCAAGTGGAACTCCTATATACGAACCAGCTTCTATTTCATCGGCAGATATGGCAATTATGGGAGAGTGGTTTGCTCATATGTTAATTCTATTTCTCTCTTTCCTTATTAAGCATCGTGACGAAACATTCTTTTTAAGATACCTGTTGATACCAGAGCGTAAGAAAGTTTACCTTTTCCAAGAAAAGAATTTAAACCTGGTGTGCCGTTTCAGTGCCGATAAGGTTACGCCGCACCCACCCCTTCATTAAGACCTTCATTTATACATTAATATGCAGATTCTTGGAGAGAACCATCCTTATTCAAACCTCGTGGACTTGTGCTACAGAATCACACAGAACTGTACCGAATAAAAGAAACCCAACCACTTGAAATGTTTCAATAGAAGCAACAACTAAAATGTATGGAACATGTCAATGGAAGAGAAAATAGTGTCATAGTCAACAAACTGATCTTCCACACTACGTCACACTTATGGCCATATCATCTTGAAAACCCGGTTCTCGTCCGAACATCGAAGTTAAGCAACATCGAACACGATCAGTAACTGCATGGTTGACCGCTTGGGAATACCAGATTCTGTAAGCTTGAATGTGGATAACGACTCAGAATTGGAACTCGAAGAGCCGAGTTCCAATTCCAGTCGAGTTCGTTATATGCACTTACATGCAAATACACTTAAGAAAAATATGTATCCACTCCTCTCCCCGACAGCTATGAGTTAATTAGTAAGACTTGTATCAGAACATCATTATTATCCCCCACATAAAAATTCTTAAAATCGAAAAATATTTTCTGGCTTTAAATAACCTGCTAAAGGTTGATAAGCTGTAAAAGGCTCAATCAGTCAACCAATCAATTCACAATACTTAAAAAAAAAAAGGTTAGGAAGGAAGCCCCCAACACTACTGGAATGAGTGATAATAATTAGTGGTCTTGAAAAAACTCATTTTCCTGATTTTTTTTTTAATAGAGACATCTTATAAATTTCAACCGAGAGTAGCACTGGCTGCTCGGTTAATGAATGTCGAATGGTTCTTTATAAGGAAACAATTAATATTACAATTACCATTTCCATGACAAATATATCCTACACGTAATTATTTTTAAGAATTTGGGTGAGTCGATTGCTTCCGTTAAAAAAGATTTGTTTTTTCCGGTCTCTTTCCCACTTCCGGGAGTTTGCGTCCCTTTGTCTTTTCTATAAATACTTTCGCACGAGCTCTTCGCTATGGTATCTAGACTCTTCGAATTTAAGCATAGTACTAGATTGGTGATGAAGTCTCACCAATTTACAGTTGACCTGGCTAGATGTAACCGTAAATTCTATGCTATCAGTTTCTTTTATCGCATTTCTCGCTTGTGGAACTCTGTTCAGGCTCCATGCTTTCCAGCGTTAATCTGTTGTCCTCTTGATTACTCTTCCTCTGTACTCGCTCCCTAGCAAAGTTCCTGTTTCTAACCCTTCCACACCCAGTAACTTCTTGAGTCTTAGTGGCTTTATTGCCTTGCTTGGGGTGAAATCGATTAAAAAAAGAACTAATTACCTTTCCACAATGGAAATAGTAATAAAAAGATAACTTCATTTATCTGGTTTATAAGAACCTGTCGAATTCTTTGTTCAGAATCATTTGTCTCTGTTTTTCTATAAAAACCATCTCGCTTGTTAGCTATTATGACGTATGAGGGCTTCCGTACTTTCCTCGATTCAGAAGCAGCAGTGGAAATAATCAACAGGAATAACCGGAAGTTCCAGATGTCATAAAACCCCTATTCGGCCACTTTTCCCGCTTCCTGTTCAGCGGGCTCTTTCTCACGTTCATCTCTCTTATGCTTTTTCCATTTTCCAATTCGGCGGCCTCTACATTCAAGGACCTCCGCAAAAGACGAGGTCTGTCATGGCAGCTTGACACCAGTTTTCGCGTTTCCGCCGCGGGAACCGATGGAGAAATCTCCCTTCAAGACACCTGTAAAGGAAGACTACACACGACCCATGCTGCAAAAGACGAGGTCTGTCATGGCAGCTTGACATCAGTTTTCGCGTTTCCGCCGTGGGAACCGATGGAGAAATCTCCCTTCAAGACACCTGTAAAGGAAGACTACGCACGACCCATGCTGCAAAAGACGAGGCCTGTCCTAGCAGTTTCACTCTCAGATTTCTCGTTCCTACCGTGGGGATATGCGGATAACTCTCCAAACAAATCAACTACTATACCCAAAGACTCTGTTCATTGGGGAACACCCATTTTCTTCCCACAAATATTACCTTTTCAACCAGAAATAAATGCTGTTGAATAGTTATTTTAAAGATCTGGGTTTTTGTTTATTCCACTCACACAAAACAGACATAGGCGGGAAAAAATTCTCCACATTTTGTTAACGGTTGTATTCTGATTGAGGTTCCTTGTTGAATAAGTTAAATAATTCCAGTGAGAAAATACATTCTTGTCTTATTTCTCTTTCTATTTTTGTTGTCTTTATTGAACTCCTTCCTTATCCGTATTCAAACTGTCTATTACCAGTAGAGATGTTATGGATTAATCGAATGCATATAAAGCAAGTATTTTTAGTATTACAAAAAGATATTTGGGTCGTAGTTTATCAACTGCTTTTTATTTCTTGTAATCGATGAAACCTAGGTCTTGTTCCAGTGTCTACGGGTGCATATAAATAAAGTTGGCGACACATCAAGCGTTCAATGAAAATAAAATAATGGTGATATGTTCAGTTTTCGAAGAACGGTAGGCAGTAGGCTGTCTGGTTTCACCAATAAGGCACCTGTGGCGTTAAGACAGAATATGAAAAAAATTGATGCACGTTCAAGTCCTGCTGGAATCTTATAACGTTTGACGGGCTGGTAGTAAGTAAAATTACGATTAAAGACTTATCATTCGTCAAGTTACTAACGAATATTTGAATGTTTCATGAAATTACTTCTTGTTTGGTGTTATGATTCTGCCTTTTGCTGCCCAGTGGTTCATTTCATTATGTCAGTTATGTGCCATGTGGGATACACGCTTAAGCGATCATGTATCTTTCGATACATGACTGACGAGGCAGATTTTTTTCAGCAGTAGGTGGACATTTCTTTCTGCAGTTGACCAGTTGCCATCCAAAGCTATAGGACCTGGACTGTCGTACTATTTACCCATAGTTGGAGGGATAAGAAGAGGATTCATACGTTTTCCAAAGGTATTAGCACGTAAGTGAATTCAGTGGATGCGACTGGAATTCGAACTCGGTTATCCGATTCAGCAATCGGAGCGGCTATCCATTACTCCACCGCACATTGCAGAAAAAAGAAAATCAGGACGTAGCCAGCCATGGCTATCTATTAGGTTGGTGCAAAAATAATGACTTAATAATGTCGTTTTTGGACGTATTTTTTAACGTTAATAAACGACATTATTACGTCATTATTTTTGCACCAACCTAATAAAACTTCCTACCTTTCGTAGCTTTAAGCAATGTCTGTCTTCTTACTATGTTTTCCGGTCTTTTTTCTGCCATCCATTTACACAAGCATTTTAGGCAAACTACTCTCTGGATTGTTCTGCTCCTCTAGCTTTAATTATTTATCATGTGGGTATCAGATTCTCCAAACCCTTTTTCCAGAAATTTCGACCGTCTCTGATTTTAATTATAAGTATTTTTTTTGTTTCCATTTTCCTTAAACATTCCTGATTACTCACATGTCCCGTTTACAGTAGTCTCAGCAGGGCCAGTGGAAATTTTGAGATCTGCAGCAATAAGGGACATTTTTTGGGTCAGCCAAATCGTGTGTCGGTTGCCACCAAATATACCCCTGTGTTGTATATGATCTTGTGAGAAATAAATAATTACTATGAATTCTAATGTACATGTCTGAGTCATTCAAGATTATGAAGGAAAGAGAATGCCAAGAAAGTTTTCTCTAAAATAATATTAGCGCCATGTTTTCTGCATTATCAAATCGAATAAGACTGTAGAGATTATGAATTCATTCCTGAAAATAATCTTTAAAGAACTGATAGGTTATATTTTTTTAATCCGACATATATTTATTATTTCTTTATTTTTTATTACTTATTTTTGGTGGCTATCCATATTTGAGCAGAAGCACATTTTTTTTTTTTTGCAAAATATTCCCGGCATGCATTTGTAAGTTCATTTAATTTGAATAATGATGGAATGTGCTGATCAGGAGATACAATTTATTGCTTGATAACAGAGTTCCCAATATAGTTTGATATAATTTTTTTTCGGCATATATATATATATATATATATATATGTATATATATGTGTGTGTGTGTGTGTGTGTGTATGTGTGTATGTGTGTGTGTGTATGATATATCTGATAAAAAGAGAAAGATGTTACACTTATAAACATTTCCTATTTTTTCCTTATCCTAATATTCTGTCAGATTCCACTCCATATTTGATATCATTAGAATATATATCAAATACATATAAATATGTATTTGATACCAATCTATCTATCTATCTATCTATCTATATATATATATATATATATATATATATATATATAATTATTTTATAAAAAAATTTATAACATAAGTATGTTATAAAATCACTACAAAATAGCTTATTTTGTTTCAACACACTCTGTGTCTTATCAAGTGATGGTGTTGAAAAAAGAAAATAAATGGTTTTAAAAGTTTCAAATGAATTAACGATCCTACACTAGGGGGAGCATTGTTACAAAAGCTAGAATAACCAATCAAAAACGAAGTACAGAAAGATTCAAAAGCTTGACAACAAAATCCTGCTATTATAGCTATTTAGATCTTTAAATACGTGTAATATTAAAAATAATTTTTACTAACTAATAATTATAAATTTATATGATAAAATTTAATATTAAAATTAAAAACTGGCAATTTTTAAAAATCCAAATTTAATCACTATTAAGTTTAAAAACTACAAAATTATTGAGAAAAGAAAAAAATATATATGTTTATTCAATTCATTTCTTCATTGAAATTACGTCTGACAAGACAAAAAGCTACAATTCGTCCGGTCATCTGATAATACATGTATATATTTTTTTCTTTTTTTCTTTTCCGTTTTTATGGAGTTTGGTTACGAAAGCTCGTACTTGTAACTCCCTATATACCCCATGTTACCTATGCCTTAATGAAAAATTTGAAATTATTAGATTTAAAAACAAGGCTGATCTCTTAAATCAAAGATATGAACTGACAGTAAATTGTAAACACCGTTATAAATTTAACTTAGTGTAGGGGTCGTATACTTTAAATGATAATGATATGTCGCTGTATTTTTAATAGATTAGTATTTTTATTGCATAATGGTCATACTTACGATATAAGTGTGTATTGTTTACCTGCATAGTGTTATCAGTGTTGGTGTAAATATATATATATTTATTTATGTGTTGGTTAGAGTATTTGCACTGAGGAATGTGTAGGTTGGTGTATAAATGTATTTATGGTTTTTTTTTTTTTTTACATGTGAGGGTGTATGTGTGGGTATGTATGTATGTATATATATGTGTGTGTGTGTATATATGTATATATATATTATGGGAAAATAAGGTAGATTATGAGAGAAAAGGTTAAT